TGGAAGCCAGAGTGGGAGAGTGTGTATGCAGGGCCTTGTTGGGCACGGGTGGCATGGCAGGCGGCTTGGAGAACAAGGCCACTGTTTGTCCAGCCCTGGATTCTCCCAGGAGAAAGAGCCTGGCACTTAGGGTAGCCAGGGAAAGCTGTGTCCTCCACAGATTCTAATCAGAATCTAAACAGAAAGGGTTCTGTTCTGCACGTGATTTATATTTCTATTTGTAGGGAAAAAATCCCCTGAGGTTCTTATATTCACCAGCAGAGGAGGGAGGTTTGCAAGGTCATCGCCAATACCTTCCCTCTGCTCAGGAGCCCTGATGAACTGGGCTTTGAGAGCTCACTTGCAGCCAGGTAGATGCAGGATGGGGTCTGTTATTGGAGGCAGTAACCCGTCTCTGAGTCTGAGCCTTACCCCACCCATCCATCCCTCCATGTCCAGGCCACACCCCTCCCTGACCCTCCCGGTGGCCCTGGGAATTCTCTCATCTTGTCTTGAGGCTTATGCCACAAATAGACTCTCTGTATCCCTTTTTCCAAATCTGTTATTTACATAGCTTGGAATAGAAGGGAGGGAGAGAGGGAAAGACGAGGGAAAGGGGAAGAGAAGGAAAAGGAAGGAAAATAATGTGGACCTCACTTATAAGTCAACACAGGACCTCTGGTAGCAACGTTGCTGTGTCAGTGTGGCCACATCAGAACAGCTCAGCAGAATGGACTTGGCAAAGCACACTGTGCCTTTCAAGTCCGTAGATCAGCTTGAGAGCTGCACCCACTCGAATAGCTCCCTGGTGTTTCCGGTAAGGTGACCCCTGGCTCAGGAAACCAAACCCACGACTGGGAAGTGAACGTGTCAAACGGACTTGGCAAAGCACCCTGTGCCTTTCAAGTCCGTAGATCAGCTTGAGAGCTGCACCCACTCGAATAGCTCCCTGGCGTTTCCGGTAAGGTGACCCCTGGCTCAGGAAACCAAACCCACGACTGGGAAGTGAACGTGTCTGAGGATGTCACAGGATACTTTCTCCCTTCATCTGCTCCTCGCTTGTCCTGGGAGAGGGCCTTTTGCTTTGTGCTTCAGCTGAAGGAACTTGAGGCTGCACTCAGGTCCCCTGCCCTCCCACCCTGTCTGCAGAGCACCACTCAACTGTCACCAAGGTCTCCTTCCCCAAGGGAGGACAGAGGACTCACCAGGAAGTGTTGTCTGACACAGAGATCAAATGACCCATTGCCAGCACTCTGTCACTTGGATATCTCCATTCTAGGAAACATTTGGAGCAGTAACAAGGGGTTTCTCTTTACAGGACATCGCCCTGGAGATCTTCTTCCAGAATGGATACTCCAAGTTTCTTGTCTTCTACAACAGTGATTGCAGTAAGGTCTTCAAAAGGTAAGGGTCCAAAAACCTCCTTCCAAGGAAACTGACCCTGAACCGAGAGTGGAGGAACAGAGAATGCTCAGCTCTGTTCTCAGGAAAGGTGTTCTCAACCCATGACGAGCAGGATTTGGTGTAAGCACAGGAAGAACCCCATCACCCACAGAGCTGTTGCATCATGGAATGAAGTGCAGAGAAAAGACAGGGGAGCTCCCTCCCTAAATCCTGGGGAACAGACTCCATTTTCATGGTTTGGGACAATAGGAACTGCAGGGGAAAAAAAATCATGCAGATGCAACATATTTAAGAAACTGGCTGTTTGATGGGCCTTCCAGAATTTTCTGGCTTTATTTTCTAATTTTCCAAGTGATTTTTCTTGGCTTAATTTTTCTTTTTGATCCCAGTTGCCAGTTTTAGTTGCTCCAATTTCACATTTCATTGGAAAGAATTCCAAACGACTGATTTCCCACTTGTGCATTGAGAGAAGCCTGCTGTTTTAGTTTAACTTCTCTTTCTCCAAGTAGATTAATCAATGTAAGAAATCTAAGCCAGTGTCTAAATTCTTAATACTCATGGTTATTTATTTTTATTATTACTAAAGTTACAGATAAGTAGATGGATTTGGAGAGAATGCAGGCAGGACAGAAAGGAAGGCAGGTTCTAGTCATAGCAGACCACAGAGGGGCTGGGTGCTCACGTTCTGCTCCACTTTGGGCTGGAAGTTTGGAAGTAAGATTTGACACCCTTGTCCTGGGAGCCCTGTTTTGTGCTCAGAGGTTCTAGCTTTGCTTTCTGGTGGCCCTGGCCAGTGACTGGCACCAAGACCAGCTGATGCGTCCAGGGGCAGGGCCACAGTGGAGAAATGCAGCTCCTGTAGGAGGCTGCAGGGCCAGTGCCCGACACGCCTACTCTGATGCAGCAGAGCCTTCCAGCCAGGTGCTTAGGGCGGCAGTCAGATTCCTCCTAAAACTGCCCTCATGGTCTATTTTAGACCAGACTGAGTAAGCAGACGTGCCATGCATTTCCCCCTACAGTTTCTGTGCATTAAAAGAAGTTTTTCACAATCTACAATTCTTATACATCCATGACTCAGGCTGGGAATGTGGCTTAACATAAACTCCACAACTGCACCCACCCTCAAAGAGCCTTAAGTTAAGATAGGATCTGTCCCCAGAATGGCACACTGGGATACACAGCAGTGGTTGATGAAAGTGGCAATGGAAATGCAAAGGGCCTGGCCCAGAGGAGGGACCCCAGTCACGTTGCCTTAGTAACTACTGTTTCATTGCTGTCGTTGTTATTGTTAGGGCTGGAGTGTAATGCCAGAGGGTGCTGAGAGGTGCCTTAGAGGTACACCCAGGCCTGGTGTCCACAATCTGGGGCAGGTGGGGACATGTCTTTGCTGGAGGTTGAAGAGTGTTGACTCTGCTGATAGAATTATCCTTCCCTTTTGTTTAGCTTCTGCTCGTTCCAGCCCGGCCTGAAGGGGAAAGGCGTGGTGGAGGACGCCCTCGGTCTAAGGTAACACGTGGCACCGGCCTTGCTTTGTTTGCTCATCCCCTGGTCTTCCTCTACAGAAGTCGTGCAAAGAGCATGTTCATCTGTTTCCCCTCTGTTTTTCTCTCTCCCGTCCTTGCACGGCCTTCATCCCACTCTTGAAATTCCTTCTGCCAATTAAACCTCTGTGAACAGACTTGAAGTCTCACATGCTCTGTGGCTTTTTCAGACTCAAATGGCAGGGAGCAGTCCTCTGCCAGTAGTGGCAGGGCAGGCTGCCCATAGAGCTACAGACCCAGACACAGCCTCAGGGCCCAGGCCCTCATGTGGGGTGTGTGAGCAATCCCAGGCCTGTCTTTCCTATAATGAGAATTTCTGAATGCTCCGAAGCTAAATTAATACATGGTGGTATGTGAATTAGATGTTAACTTATGAATCTGAATTATGAATTTACAGGGCATCATTCCCAGTGAATACAATGATTCCAGCCCCTACCCAGGGCCCCTTTACAGGTACTCAGTTCTCTGGAAGGCCAATTCGGGATCA